CAAAGTGAGGTGACAAAAAATGAATGGAAAAGTGAAACAAAAAGTCAAACTCATTATATTCACCCTTCTATTCATTTTTTACCGCATCACTTTGTATAGAGATCTTTGTAAGTATAATATTACTCTTATTAATATATGTGAATGTGAAGGGATTAAACACATCCGCCAAAGTTGAGTTAACAAAGTTTTAATTAGACCTTTGGGATGCCCAATAAATTATAATCGTTATTTAATATCATATTGTTATTAATATGTGTTATTAATACTAAAAAATATCAAACACCAATTACATTAAGTCACATGTAACCAAAAATCCTACACATTTACATGTCTCACATCATCACCAGCCACATGAAGCCACATGTAAATATCCTACATCATCACCAATCACATGTAGCCACATGTCGAACAATCATCCAACATGTCAAAATGAAACAATTCTAGAGCTTAAAAAATCATAAATGGCAATAAAAAAAAGGCATGTCTTAGGATTATATAAATATATAGATATAGATGAGGTATAAAAATAATTTTTAAAATATAATAGAGATATGTATTTGTTATGCCTAAAAAATCAAGGCTGACATAAGCTTATGCCAACAAGGGTCAATCAGAGTTCAGGAAGGCTTTGTGCTGTCTAGACACTACCACGTTGCACAAGGATGGAATAGGTAAGGTTGTCGTCAGCATGGCAGGTGAAAGTTTGGCTTGTGAGTGGCTAGGAATTGTCCACCTGCCCAAGCCCTGTAACGCCCCACTTGAGGTATATAGTTAAATTATTGTTGCATTGCTTGAATGTTTATTGATTTGTTCTCATTTGAGCTTGCATATTGTTATTTTTGGTTGGTTGGCCCTTAGTTGAATTTTGTTAAAGTTATTTTGAGAAAAATGTGAAGAAAATCCCTTAAACTTTCATTAGGAGTAAAATGGTCTTTTCACTCAAAATTAGTTGAAAAATTGGGGAGTGAAAAGAGATAGAATTTCATGGAGAATGTAATAAAAATGAGGGCATTATTGTAATTGACTAAGGGACATAGATGGAATTTTCAAGAAAGAGCAAGGGCAAAATGGGAAACTAATATATATATTATTATGTAATAAGAGTTCAAGAGTAGAAACCCTAGCCACTCTATCCCTCCATTCATGCCATTCTCTACTCAAATTCTCTCAAATTTCTTCACTAGATTTCCAAGGAAATTCATAGATTTTGGGTATTTTTGAGTGGATTTTCAATCCTAAGCATCCAAAGGTAAGATTCTTGTATCAAGATGTGAGATTAAATTTTAAAGTTTTGAATTCTTATGGTTTTATATGCTTAGGGTTTAAGAGGAAAGGGAATTCTATCAAAGAGAGATTATAGTGTTGGAGTTGCTCAAATTCAAGGTAAGTAAATCCAACCAAGTTAAGATTTAAGAAAATCAAGTGAGTAGAGATTTCTTTTAATTATGTATGTATTATGATTATTGAGAAATTGAGATGAGATTGATGATGAATTATGCTTGTTGTTGGATATATTTGAATTATGAGAAGTGCTTTTGATTGTATGATGATGGGTTGAAGTTTGATTGAAGTTGAAAGAAGTTTAAGTAAACTTTTGGGAGTGTTTTTCCTTGGCAGGTTTTATGATGATACAAGGGAGCTTTACTCCCATTTTGGATGGTTAAAGAAAGAAGAAGAGTTATAGCTAAATTAGAATTTATGTTTGCACATTTATTGTTTGATGAAATGCCTAAGTGAAAAGCCTAAGTGAAAACTGCTTTGTCACAACCGTGACCTTTTGATTGATTTTTAGGCATCTTACAGATTGAATTGGGTTGAGACCAAAACATAAAAGTTGTAGCCCTGTCTCTAAGATTTAAAACGAGACCAAAATTGTAGCAATCCAATATGTATAACTCAAATTATGCCTTCTTGAGTGTGACCTATGCAGAATGACTATCTTGATGCAACATTGCATTTGTGCATTTCATGAGTGCATTAATGAGCATGAATCATCCATATGCATTAGAGAAAGAGTAGAAAAAGAGTAGAGAACTTTGAGTATGAGCTTTATTAAGAGAAAAGAGAGAAAAAGATAATAGAGTAGGTTGTGCGATGGGGAACCCGTGAGTAATGGGTAGAGTATTCCCGCATGTACGCTGCATTGAGAGAGCGGCATGAGTATGAGAGAGAGAAGTGGTGTAGACCGTGAGAGTGCATGCGGATGAGGGCTATACTCGAGAGTACCCGAGAGAGAGAGAGAGATTATATACTCACATGGCCAAGGGTTCCGAATCCATGCATAACAGAGTCCGATTGGCTAAAAACAAGTAGAAGTCACGGAGAGCGGGAGCGAGTCCCGGCCGTGCCCTTGGTAAGATGGGGCCGTGACTTACTAAAGAGAGTTAGTAGAAAAGAGTTCTAATAAAGAGAAACAGAGAGAGAGAAACAGAAAGAGAAAACAGAGAGAAGTATAAAAGAGAGAGTAAATGAGAATTGTAAGGAAATACTTAGAGAGAGAGAGTTACGGGGATAGATGACTAGAGGGTTTACTTACTGAGCATTATTTGTGCTCACCCCGTTGTCTTTCTATGTTTTTGTAGGATTTAGGTGAGGACATGGTCGGATGGATGTCGGCACGTGAGGAGGAATGGCTACACTGTCTACATAGTTTTTGATAGTTTTTGTTTATGATACTAATTTTGTATAAAGAATGTATATGTTTAATAAAAGAAAAATTTGGGACCAATTACTTATGTTATTATACATGTATTTTATTATGTATATTTTTATGAGTATTTGAGTATGAAGTAGTTATTACAAGCCCTACGCGTTTTAAGGATATCTCCTGTACTGTCAACCAACGGGAAGCAAGTTAGGAATTGTATCACACCTACCCGACTGCAAAATCATGATTATTACCTTGAATCCCTCGATTATAAATAGATGGCTCCTCTCTCATTTGCAGGATCCAGACATTTTTAATCTTCAAAGAGTAGACTTTCTCTCTAGATTATAACTTAGCTCATTGTCCGCGACCTGACTGTAATCATCCATCAATACAAATATAGTGGATGTAAGATTCGCTTTTGAGCATCCGAGCCACTTTAAAAATTGTCTCTTGTTTATTCTTTCGTTGCACATTTCCATATCACGTGTGATTTCTACGTCCGCTTAGCAATTTATATGTGCGAGTCGTTAGTGTCAAAATCAAGTATCAACAGTTTGGTGCTAGAAGATGGGCTTGATTTAGTATCCGTTCTTCATCAGGAATCTCTGACCGATTGGTCCTATCCATCAGTAAATGGCTCGTGGTTTTGAAACTGAGCGAACTATCTCGACAATGAGGAGATCCCCTGGGTATAAGATGACGTTTCTCTCGAAGTGCCTCTAGTCCAGTAGAGTACCATGGCGGATATTCCTTCGAGCTCACAACTCGACCCAACCGTGATGGATTACCTAGTGAGGTTCAACAATACTCTCCAAATGGTTAGCCAAAGGTTCGACCATTTGGATCAGATCGTACCACTAGAGTTCGACAAAGACGCCTACAGGTTGTGCGAAAGTGCGAAAATGGGTGAAAGCCCATACCGCGCGCATTGCAGCACATAAAAGTAAGGGAATGTCATTTTAGCATGACTTGCATTTAATGTGCATGACTGGCACTTATTACGCAAGACTGTCACTTATTGTGCAAGACTAACACTTATTGCGCAAGAGACACGTCTATCATAATAAAGTTTACTTTATTGACCAGACCAATTGTCAAGCACAACGGATAACATCTGAAGAGATCGTTCGAGTAAAACACTCTTCTCCATATATCGATTTCGAGATGATGTGACCCTTTGTTTTGGGTAAAAATGTGTTAAGAATTTTCAAGTCGTGAGCGACGGATGAAGTTTAAAGCATGTTGGTATAACACTGAGCAAGGTTCGACCCAGGTCGCTAAACCAGTGGGGGAAGGCCGCCTCAGGTCACTTGTGCTATTCTTAGAGACCTATGCTGCGACCTCCTTACAGCTCACTGGTCGGGTTGAATTACTAATTTCACATCATCTTAACTACTTGTCTCCTTACCGCTTGATCAAGTGTCACTCAGGATAAGTCAGGTCACGGCATAATCATGAAGTTTTCAAGGTTCAATCCTTAAACCTTAAGAGCTGAGGAGCTTTTATTATGCCTAAAAAATCAGGACTGACGTAAGCTCACGCCAGTAAGTGCCAACCAGAATTCAAGAAGGTTTTGTGCCGTCCAGACGTTGCCACGCCGCACAAGGATAGAAGAAGTAAGGTTGTCGTTAGCGTGACAAGTGAAAGCTTGGCTTGTGAGTGGCTAGGAATTGTCCACCTGCCCAAGCTCTACGTGATTTAAGGATATCTCCTGTACGGTTAACCAATGGGAAGCAAGTTAGGAATTGTACCACACCTACCCGATTGCAAAATCATGATTATTACCTTGAATCCCTCGACTATAAATAAATGACTCCTCTCTTATTTATAGGATCCGGACATTTTTAATCTTCAAAGAGTAGACTCTCTCTCTTTGTATTTAAATTCTCTATAGATTGTAACTCAGCTCGCTGCCCGTGACCTGACTTAATCATCCATGAATACAAATATAGTGAACATATGATTTGCTTCTGAGCATTCGAACCACTTTAAAAATTGTCTCTTGTTAATTTTTTTGTTGCACATTTCCATATCACGTGTAATTTCTAAGTCCGCTTAATACTTTATACATGCGAGTCATTGGTGTTAGAATCAAGCATCAATAGTATTTAATAAGGGAGGATAATAATCAATTTGATTTAGGCAAAAAATCACTTTCCCACTTTCTCCCTTCATTTTAGTTGTGGATTAGGATGGGAAATTAATTGCTTTTCTGGGCCTTTCTAAAACGACCCAAGATGTTTCTGTATAAGCTCAGGCTTAGGATTAGGTTTGGGCTCGGACTTGAAAATCGTCCCCTTATTATTGGTCAACAGCAGCATTTAACTTAAATTCACAAGTGACTGCCCGACATCGAAGTTGTGTCAATCCCGGGAAAATCATTCACAAAGGAAATGCCGGCGATATCACTGTCCAGCTCACTTCATTTTCCTGCCAATTTACTGGAGAAATTAGAAACTCAGTTTTTCAGAAAGAGTTGTCTACAGTTTAAGTCCAATCAAAATTTGCAATCGGTCTTATTATTTAAGGAGAAGAAGAGTTTCATTTCAGTTTTAGCAAAGGGCACATTTAAGAAAAATCAAGAGTGTACTGCCGATCTCAAGAACCGAAAGGGTTGGATTCATTTTGTAGGTGTTGGTGGTTGTGGATTGTCTGCTCTCGCCGTGCTTGCTCTCAAACAGGTAAGCTCTTTTTGCAAAACTCTGACTTTGATTTTCTGTTTGGTTGCTGAGAAAGTGGAGGAATATGAAACAATATGTAAATTTGAAGTTAAGCAGGATTTTTCAGAAGCTTGAGTATGAATATTATGCTTAGTGATCAACTGAGAACCTAATGAACTGAGTTTTCTCATTTAAAACATTATTTAGTTGCAAACTAGGGAAGGCTTGAATAGTTTGTTATTTGGTTTTAGGGTTTTGAGGTTAGTGGTTCTGATTTGATGTGGAGCAGCTACATGGATGGACTGCAGGCAGCCGGGGCATGTTTGCATATCGGCCATTCTATATCGAATATTCAGAGGAATAATGAGTCAAGGTTTCCAGATGCACTTGTTATTTCAAGTGCAATTCCACAAGATAATGTGGAGATTTTACATGCGAAATCTGTTGGAGTACCCGTGTAAGTACCTCGATATGGATGAAATTAGGCACTTTCATAGCTCTGAAAGCGTCAAAATTTATTTGAAGGAGTACCCAAATAGTTTCATACCTTAATGGCAATCATAATATATTGATTTCTGTAATTGATTTTTTCTTTCACGTCTGTTGTTATCACTTTTCACAGCTACAAGCGAGATTATTGGTTGGCAAAGTTAACAGAGAACTTCAATCTTGTTGCTGTTAGTGGTAGTCATGGTAATATGATAAAAGTTATCATAATTATTTATTGTACCTTCGACACACTTCCTCAAAATTACGTGGTTCATTAGCTCTTTTTAAACGCAGTTATTATGAAAATGATGTTCTGATTGCTTCTTAATAAATGGTTTTTTGTCCCTATTTTTCTCATACATGCCTAACTGCTCTAAAACTATTTAATATTTATCATAGTGATAAATCTTTTGCAAAGATAACAAATATTGTTGCTTATCTGTGAAGCCTCAATTCCATTTTCTTGAACCCAGCTATAGATTTTAGCTTCTCAGTCCTAGCTTAGACTAATTTTTTTACCGCAGTTGTGGCTTATAGCATGTTCACAATCATCACCTCAATCAAGTCTTAAAGCTAGCATGCTTATATGTCTAATGTTGAAATTTCATGATCGTGTTTGAACTGGGATGCAATAATCTCTTTGGTTTCTGGATTGAGTAAATTATTTGCCAATTGTATAGAAATATTATTGACAGTGAAAACAAGATATTCTTTTGCTTTATATTTTATCAATAACATAATTTAATACTGTGGATACAATTGTAATGCTATTTATATTTGAACTACATCAACTATTATTTTCATTTTTTTCATAAAATTTGATTATTAATCTAAGCAGGGAAAAGCACAACCACAAGTATGCTTGCTTATGTTTTGAAGGCAATCGGAGATGATCTCACAGCTGTGGTTGGAGCACATGTGCCACAAGTAATATTTTACCAATGAAAGAAAAATATTGTCTACAAAATTCATGTTCCCTATTTTGTATTCAACATGTAGAATTTCTGTTGCAAAGCACCTATTCGCTTCATTTTCCAGTTGTCCATTTTGGTTCCTTTATTACTTTATCTTTCAAGTGAACTAAGTAGTTGCAGTTGCAATTTTAAGTTTTTAACCAGTTTGGCCTGGTTTCAGTAAGCCAAATGTATAGTCTGTCAACAGAGGTTTTACATGATCCAATCTGACTCTTGCAGTTTCCAGATGGAAATATAATTTCAGGTGGTGGCCAAAATTTTATTCTGGAGGTATGCTTCCATTTGTTTCCAACTTTCCTGATGGAATCAACCTTATATGAACAAGTTGGATGAACATTTACATACATAAGGTTGAACGTTCTCTGAAAAGATGGTTAAAATATGCTTTATTTCCATGAGTGGTTGAACTTAAAAATTAAGATAAGGAATTAAAAAAAAAAAAATTCTCTTTTTATGTCTATTGAAACCCCTCCTTGAATGATTAAAATAATTGATATGTTTGAAGTTATCATATATCTTATATCTTTTTTATGAGAATCACATTTAATGCTTGTGACCTCATTTTGAAGGTAGGCCGATGAATATGATGGTTGTTTCCTGGGCTTATCGCCACATGTAGCTATTGTAACAAATCTTGACTGGGAGCATGTTGATATCTTTGAAGATGAGGTTTGGCAATTGATTTGCTATTTTTGCATGGAAAACTGGGACTTAGAACTTGTATCAACAACTAGTAAAGAATAATATTCCTTGGTTTAATATTCTTTTTTTCCTTATCAATTAGGAGGCTGTCAAAAGTATTTTCAAACAGTTCCTGAAGCAAATCAAGAAGGGTGGATATCTCATTATATGTGGAGATAGGTATTTTTGGCTCTCCTAATATATCATAAGATGAGTTCGAGGAGAATGTTCTTGCTGGAATATGGAGTATGTTATTCATATATAAAGAAAAGATTGATTATTTCGAAACATGCAGTCTCACATTGGAAAATAACCAAGTTGGAGAGTAGAATGCTCTTGTTAGAGTATGTTATTAATATGTAAAGAAAAGACTGTATTTTGAATTACATAGCCCCACATTAGAAAAGAATCAAGTTGGAGAGTGGTATATAAACAAAAACTCTCCAAAATTGTGGTAACAAGGAAGCCTAATGAGCTTGCACGTACACGAGACCAAGTTGGTTTCAAATTTCAGAAACTGATTCAAAATACCACATGCATAAATTTGATTGTCAGTGTTTGCATATCAAATTTTGAAATTTGGCCTGTAGTTACTAATTTAAGATATTAAGTGACAGCGAACTGCTCTTTGATGTGCTTTATTTGTTAAGATCCTGCATTTTATACTTTACAAGGACCTTTTTCAACCTTACAATGTCTATAGATTCTAATTATGAAATTCTTTGGGGGAAGGAAAGTGCAGTGTAGGTGCACGTTCCTTGCTGAATGGAACAAAACAAGTTATTGGATCAGAGCATTCTTGTCGTCTGCCGTCAAATCCTAGTACAGATCTTTGTGAAAATAATTACAGAGTAATAACTTATGGAATTTCAAGTACTAATGAATGGCATGCAGAATCAGTTCATCCAAACTCACTGGGTGGTAGTGACTATATACTGGTAGGTGCCATTGTTTCTTCACTTCCAAAGATAGCCACGTTGAAATTTGTTCTGGTTTTCTTAAAATTCTATGAGAAAAATTGCTACTATTGAATGTGTTTCAGAAAACTTATTGGATTTCTGAAGTTCCTTTGAGAATTTGAAATGGGTTTTGAGCCACATTTTCTTTCGAGAAGCTTTTATGGAAATTGGAAAGTGTGAAGTATGTTTCATTTTGGCTTATATTAGTTTATTACTTTTCTGGTCATTCTTCCAAATACCGAATTCAGTGTGGCCGTCTAAGGTTGAACAAGAGTTATAAATTTTATGTAAGAAGATTTAATATTACTATCTCTGTGTTTAACTTATAGACTAAAAATATGACTTTATCTGTTGGACTCTATATTAAATGAGCTGTAATGTGACTCTTGATGCTTATGTTTAAGCTTCTGGGATATACCATTAATGCCCAGTATACTCTTCGTATCTGTTTATACTGCTCTGACCATGTCTGAATTTGTTGTTAATAATTGTTGTATTGATTAGCTTACTAGATAATATTAATTCATCTGGTGTAAATTTAATTGGCTGCAGTGCTGTAGAGGGTGTCCATTAGCAGATATCAGTCTACAGATTCCAGGAGTCTATAATGTATTGAATTCATTAGCAGTAAGTGATTCTTTTTCTTTATGATAAGAAACATAAGAGGCTGTGTACTTCAATTGAGTTTCCTGCTTATAATTGCATAAGTTAGTGCCTCATTGATTTTTTTCCAGATTGTAAAATATTGCTCTCTTATACTGTTGTTATAATTCATTGCATAGGTTATTGCAACAGTGCTAACGTTAGTAGGTGACCAAGGGCAATTAAAGGAATCAATTGATTGTTTAAAGTTGCACTTGGGCAAATTTAGAGGAATATCTAGACGTTTTGAGATGGTTGGAACAATATACGGATGCCACATATATGATGATTATGCCCACCATCCAACAGAAGTTCGTGCAGTTCTTCAAGCAGCACGTCAAAATTTTCCAGAAAAGACCCTTCTTGTGGTATTCCAGCCTCATACTTACAGGTGCTGCCTGAAGAAAAATATGAATATTACAGATTCTCTTTTTATTACATTGCACTGGGCTTAAATTTTGGTGATTTTCAGTCGCTTGGTAGCTTTGAAGGATGACTTTGCCACTGCATTTAGTGATGCAGATAAAGTTGTGATTACGGAGGTACAAGTATATTGTTCATCATAGTTGAGGTTTCCACTTACAGGTCAGAAATGGCTATTAACAGTATAATTGGTTATGTCAGGTCTATGCTGCCAGAGAAAGAAACGGTTGGAATATTAGTGGAAGGGATTTAGCTGCTTCAATAATTAGCCCGTCAACTGAGTATATCTCCTCTCTGGTATATCAAACTATCGGCTTTATTATATTTATAATATGTATACGGATGCACTTTGGAGAGTTGTACGGATTTAAAAAAAAAAAAAAAAAAAAAGCTGGAAAAATTAGTCTACCAAATGCCTAATAAACACTTTGGGTGTTTTCTCTCTGCTTCGGGAGAATCTTTGAGCTCCTTTTAAATATATTTTTTGACATAAATAATGTTGGAAAGAGAATTAGAAAAGTTATATACAAAATAATCTTTCTTACCAAATATAAACGTAATACATGTTTTTGCTGAAGATTGTTCTAGTAATTTCAGATTTTACTCTACTAGCCGGCCAAAAGCATTAGGTTTGCATTTGGATTGGTGGCTTAAAACAGAAAATTAGTTTCATTAATTTCTAGTTAATAAAGTCTAGTAGTTTAGTAAAGATACAAAAGTAATGCTACCTACAACCGTTTGTACATAGATTAAAGTGCTACTTATTAATTGAGTTTACTTGTGTATTTCACTCTTCCATTATAGTTGTGTTACATCAATTTTTGAAATGTGGTATTATTATAAATAAACAAGGTTCTTGAATTATGTCCTAGTGTAACTTAATATTAATGTCAGTCTTCTCTTTTTATGTTGTGTTTTTACAGGGGAATGTGGTTGATAAGCTAACGGTTCAGATATTCAAGGACCCTCATCATGAAATTGTCATTTTAACACTTGGAGCAGGTACTTAACGTGAAATCTCTGTAAGTATCAAGAAGGCAATGTTACTGATAAAATGTCTGAATGTGTCTTATTTTGAATTGTCAGGTGATATTAACACTGTGGGTCCTAAATTGCTCCAAGAATTGCAAAATAGATTACAAAATGTGAACTCCTAACTTGGTCCATGCTATTGCTACATTGGCATAACTCAATACAATTCAGAGACTCAGATTTTTTTTTTTTTTTAATGAAGGTCACCGATTTACATGAGAACTCAAGCTCCCGGAATGCCGACAAAATCAGTTGTATAGTCTAGATTTTGGTTTGATGGACATACAATGTAATCAATAGAAAGTTGACGATACCGGTAGAACTGAAAGCCTTGATTTTGTCTTCATGAGCTCCCAGTTAATATGTAAAAAGGGTTGACTGAAATTTCATTTCAGGTGGTGCATTCCGTTTTACGCTACAAGGATTTGTGGCTAAGGTAGAAAGATGAAAGTGGACGACAAAGTAGTACCCCAGTGAAAATTGAAGCTTCTCTGCCTGTTACTGCCCTTCTACAAAGTGTAATTCAGTCATGAGGTGAGGCTTTTATGTAGTGGAAAAAACTTGAGTAATGCTATGTGCACTAGCTAATGTGTATTAATCCAAGCACTAATATTGGAAATTCGAAATTCTTTTTTGGAGGGAATTTCAAATTTTTAATATTAGTACTTGGTACACATTAGTTAGTCCACATAGTTTTATTTAAAAAACTTTGTGCTGAGCTGTTAAATTAATATTTTTTTTTTTAAATACTCGGCAGGCAATGCTAAAAGGTTTTAGCCCAAATACCAGGGCTTCAAGTAACTAAATGTTCTGAATAAATCACGAAAATGGTAGGACTTCCAGTAAACCTTAATGAACTGAATACAAGCATACTGCATACATCAAGACATGCAGGAGCTCTTTAGAAACATAAAAAATATTCCTGTAAGATTTTGCAAAAGGGAAAGAAGCCATGGCATTCTGTGTGGCATATGGGCTTCAAAATTGCAGTGTCCCTTGAGAGGAAATGATAATGCATCAACCAAGAAGATGGCTTTCATGAAAATATCACCTCAGGATATTTTCAGCCATGACAGCAAGTAGCAGATTGAAGTTAGAAAATCATGAGGAATTTAGCAGGGCGTGTAAATGAAAACTTTATATCTCTCCATTGCATGACAATCAACTGGAGTAAAATGCTAGCATACCAAAATAGCTCACGTATAAGCATCGCTGAAAAGGGATTGGCGATGACATACCAAAACCGCTCATCAAATGAAAAAATATGAAGCAACTAATCTAATAGTTGAACTGATCCCTGGTTTATTGTAGCATGGTATCAAAAGCAAAAGCAAAAGCATCCCATTATAAGCACCATTGATCCAAAATCATAACCAACCATTTTCAAAAACTTAAACAAACAAAACAAATGACAACTAGGTTAACCTCCAGATTCACCCGTCAAATTCAAATCATATATATACAATGATCAACTAATTAGCATATTCACCAAATCTGAGAAAAATCTGTCAATCTTATATTATCCACATCTCAATCAACCACAAAACAAGCTGGAAACCCAGAAGGAATATAAGTTCCAATATCAATAGAGAAAACCAGAAGGGATATAAGTTCCAATAGCAATATAGAAAAATAATTGCATTGATAATCTAACATACCTCACGAACTTGCAATAGCAATACACCAAGTTCAATAGCCAACAATTTCAGTTTGGATTTCGTAGATACAAAATTTAAACATTGAACCCACCAACACAATTATCATATCAGCAAAATTGGGAGTAAAATCCCAAATCTAAAAAATGCAGGTAACACCCCTAAAACTAACACAAGAATCATTATGATCACTAAAATTGTATAAGCAAACATTACTTGCCCACTGTACAAAACACTAAGCACATTACCAACTCAACAAAAAATCATCATTATTAACCTCCAAAAAAGGAGAAAAACCCGCGTTTCTTGGGCTCCTCCTCCATCATAACAGCTTTCATACTATCCTGCTCAACGAGCCGCCACGCTGCCTGCTCAAATGCCAACCCAGCAAGCGTAGGCGGCTTGTTCAAAACAAGAGGATACCCCCTATTTGTACTCCTTATAACTTCTGAATCCTCAGGAATTACACCCAATAAAGCCAACCCCAACATCTCTTGCACATCTAAAACCGACATCATATCCTCTCCTTTAATCATATCGGTCCTCACTCTATTAACCATCATTTTTATATCCCTTATTCCGTCACATTCTAACAGCCCCGTTACTCTATCAGCGTCTCGTAAACTCGTTATATCCGGAGTTGTTACTAGCACCGCTTCATTAGCCGGTGTTATCGCCGTTATAAAACCGGCGTCAATGCCGGCAGGACAATCAATTATAATGAAATCAGGACTACCTTCTTCTCTTGATTTTAAAGCCTCGACTAGCCAAACCAAAGCTTTGCCTCCAAACCCTAATGGAAGTTTCGATCTTGGCTTCGAAATGCAGAGTAGTTCGAAGTTCGACCACCGCTTGTCGCGAACCAAAGCCTGATCGAGACGGCAGTCGCCGTTGAGAACCTCCACGACAGTGTAGTTGACACGATTTTCCAGGCCGAGGAGAAGGTCGAGGTTGCGGAGGCCCACGTCTGCGTCGATGGCCACGACGGAGAAGCCGAATCGGGCTAATGAGAGACCGACATTAGCGGTGGTGGTAGTTTTACCGACTCCGCCTTTACCGGAGGTGATAACGACGACGCGGGGAGTTTCGCCGGCTAATTGGGGCTTTCTGTTCCATTGGAGGACCGACTGGATGGGTTTTGAGAAATAGGGTTTAGTGGGTTCTAGGGTTTTGAAATTGAATAAGGGTTTGAATGGAGTTGTTGGAGATTGAATAAAAGAAAGCATTGCTATGAAGAAGGAGAGAATCACAGAATTAGGGTTTTAGGGTTTTATCGAATGACGGAAATGAGACCATGTCATTTGGCTGAAGCAGATGAGAGTTGAATGTGACTGTGTGAGGGTCTGAGTAGCAGTGAGAACTGACAAGTATGTCTTCTTTTTTATTTAGTTAGTTAATTATAATTAAATAATGAAATTGAGTTTTTATTTTTTGCTTTTAATTTTTAGTAAATATTATTTCAAATAAACAATAAGTATCTCTTTTTTGTAAACTATATGGTTAGAGTATGTCCTTTCTTTGTTTGATGCATATAATTTATGTTTCATCTCTTTGTTCTTATAAAAGCATGAATGAAGTTGACATGTTTTGTAAACTGATACAACATCTAACCAAATCCTCCTCCGTTCAAGATGCATGAATCATAAAAGTTATATTGTATGGGAATTAAATATTAATTCAGTTATAAGGTCTAAAGATTAATTAAAGTACGCATAAACTGATCTAAATATCTCTTATCATAAAAAAAAAATGTAATAATTCAGTTTGTGATATTTATTTGTTCAACTTATTCTTACGATTAACTTGTTATTTTGTTTTAAGTGTAGATAGTCTTAAATAGACCAAAAAAAAATTGATTATTTTCATACATTTACACTTTTTAATATGTGATATGATTAGTTTTTTATTTGGTTAGGAAGACAACTCATAATTAATTAATAATACAATAATTTTGTACATTAGCACTATATATATGTATGATACTTTTCAAAACTTGATTAAATAATTAATTCATAAATAAAAAATAATGCAAATATTTAATTATTAAATAATTGAATATGTGTTTATTTGAGAGTTTAATAAGTTCTGGACCGGACTTAATAAGTTTTTTTTCTGAGCCCAACAACTTTGTTAGAAACCTACAACGGCAAGGCTCTCTGATAAGATAAAAAAATCTGATATGGGTCCCAGGTTATATAAGTTGATCAATATCAGACGTACACGATTACCTTGTTGAAGTCGGACCTACATCCATCAGACCTGATCCATTGGAAGATAAGTCGGATGTCATAAGAACATCACTGACACCGCAGACTCTGTCTGTCCGAATTCACTAAAGTCAGAGATATTTTAGATTTACGCTTTACATCAACCACAGCCCATCAAGTGCCACGTATCCACCTTCCATTCGTGATAGACACGTGATTAGTTATTTTATCTCTCAAAACCTTATGTTGTGTTGTGTTAGATCCAAACACAACGCAAACTTCAGAAGCCACCAATTCTCTATTTGCTTTCTGCTTTCTACTTTCTACGATCAGATTGAAGCCATATAATTCAAGGTTTGGTTTTCATCTTTTTTTTTTTTTTTCAATTTTTATTCTCAATTGTTTTCGCTGTTTTATTTATTTATTTAATTTGACTTGTCTGAATTAGCTTGTAGGTATTTGGATCTGATGCTCATGTTTGGGTTTTATTGATTTATATCGATCGAATCTGATATTTATGCATCTGGGTTAATTAGATCTCTTGTGGATTTGAATTGTCTTAGATATTAATTGAAGTTCCGTGACGGATCTTGTTTTGGGGAATTGTAGTTGAATTATATTCACTCTCTTGTTTTTGGTTGTTAAGAACTCGAATTTGACGTACCAGGTAATCAGGCTATTGAAAAAGTAAGAAACTTTAGTTCCGTTTTAGAAATTACAGTTACTCTGTGGTTAAGAAGTGAAATTTCAGCCTTAGTTTCGTATGTAAGCAATTAGGTTGTGAGATGGATCTTCAATTCAGGAATTAATTGGGTGTTTCTAGATTAGGGTTTTTTTTTTTTTTTTTTTTTTTTTTTTTTGGGTTTTTTTGGGTGGTTGGTATTTATTGCGAATTTCTTATCTATGAATAATTCACCTGATGTAGGTTGCAAGTAAAATTTCGATTTTCTTTGTTGATGTTTTTTATTTGAGTTTCTCCTTTTAGCTTTTGGATCTAAAATGTTTTAAGTAGGTTTCTAGGGGCTGGGCGAAAAAACTTTAAAATGCCTTATTGATACAAAGAATCAATAAGGCATTTTACCAATGAAATATACACCTAGCTCAGACATAATGAATCTTGCTCTCAACTTTAAATCAATAGAAAGAACCCAAAAATATGGTTGCTATGAATTTCTTTTAACAGGATGAATGTATGAGTAATTGGGGAAATATTTTTGTGCGATTACAGCATCTGGTAGGCCATGCGTTTGGTCATAATTAGTTGAAGGATGAGTCTCTTTCTATATAGATTGCTAAAAATTAGGTCCATTAAATTTACTATATATTTTCTTCTGCGCATTAGTAGGGTTATGTATTCTTTTGAAACTCTATATTTAGGGAGTTATAATATGAGGGTATATTAATACACGTAAACTATTATTATTGTTATTATTATTACCTTTTGAATTCTGAATTGGCCTTCTAGTGTTTTGTCTGATGATGCTGATTATGGATTTGGTTATAGTCTATTTTTGTTTTGTAGTCCATTTATCTTTTTTATTGTTTCTGTGGATGTGGATTTGTTCTTAAATGTTTTTAATATGTAATTTTAATTGTCATCTGAATATAAATTTTTAAGGTTCATCACTTTTTTTCTCTTGGGGACAAGGTCATGTGAGGCGTGTAAAACTTTTTTTTTAATTTTATTATTATTTTTTTTTTTAATTTGAACAATGTACACCTTCTTGAGTGGTTTCATTGTCATTGTCATGGATGTGGTGCCCCTTTTGCTTGCCCAGATAACATGTGAATATGATGGCAATATTTATTCTTAGAGCTTGATAGATATCATGAATCCTTTCTGTGAACTTTCTGTGGTTAAGACCTTATTTGTCAGTGTGCTTGCCTTACATCTGAATTCATGCCATTCATTGGAAAATCAATCTTCTGTCGTGTGTACTTTCTTTGCATTTTAATGGCTAATATTTGGTTTTGTTTACTTGTAGTGGAGAGGGCCATGTGAGCTGTCTGAAACAAGACTGAATTGTCAGTTCTGCAATTTTGATAAGCGTACTGGTTCTCCTGGTGTGCAGATAATGGGTAAATGCAAGGGTTGTGGGAAATTAGGAAGAATGCTGCCAAGGGATGGGTCTGTTAGTCCATACCATTTTTCTCTTCTTTTGTGTCCTGTCGTTTCTGTTTGGGATTGCATTGTTCGTAAAATGAGGTATTCCTACAGACCTGAGTGGGTGTAGTCGTTGTGATCATAGTTCAGCATTATATAAGTTTTCAATACAAGATTGAACCAGAAATTAATTAGGGTTATTAGTAGGGAAAAAGAAAAGTGAAAGAAGAAAAGATAATTATAGGGAAATGTATACATTTTAGAGGAATACTCTTGAAGGAAAAAATTGAGCCAACAGGACCGAGTTTGTAAAGGTCAAGTCTATAGACGTTTGTAGTATTCATGGATAACATGGCATGTAATAAAGCGCAACCTGTTGTGAGAAAAGCAAAGAAGAAGCAGGTAAAGGATGAAATGGATCGCATCAAACAGGCTGAGAAGAAAAAGAGGCGCCTAGAGAAAGCTCTTGCTACATCTGCAGCCATTCGATCAGAACTGGAAAAGAAGAAACAAAAAAAGAAAGAAGAACAACAGAGGCTTGATGAAGAGGGTGCTGCAATTGCTGAGGCTGTTGCTCTCCGTGTCCTTTGTGATGATTCTGATGATTCATGTAAAGTTGTGCTGAACAAAGAAGAGGGTTTCAGTTCTTGGGATTGCACTAGCAATGTTGACATTTTCATGGGTGGAGGGAGAGCATCTCTTCCTCATCAGGACCGAGCAAGGTGTACACTTGAAGGCATTGGGTGGCTCTCTAACACGTGTGGTTCTGGCTGCAAGTGGGATGACTTTGGAAATGGTGACTGGTCATTTACGTATGGGCCTATTGAAAGAAATCTAACTATGCCGTATCTTGAGGACGAAGGTTGGGCAGCTTCAGAATTCTCTGCTGGTCTTATTGCAGCACAAGCTGTTTCATCACTACAAATTGCAGAGGATGCACAAGTAGACGCCATTGTTTTTAATGGGATGCTCAAGAGGGACAAGCCGTGGTTTAAAGTCTAAAATAATGGTTTTGTATATATTTAGTACAAATGAGCCCTCTACTTAAATTCTAATGTTGCTTGCTTCTTCAGTCAAAAAAACATTACCGCACTAGCATGTCCAAGTCGGTTCTGTTTTTTTTTGGGGGTGGGTCGGGGTTGCTTTCATAATTCTGTGTCTTGAAGTTGCTTGGTTCATATATGGTTGATTTTCACACGTCTTGAACAATTAGTAGATTTGTGTTCTTGTTAACTCTAATGAGTTAGAAATATCTGCTGACTTATTGTATCGAATATTTATAGATTATATGTTAACTAAATTAGTCCCTTTTGCAATTTGTGATTCTTTCTCTTGACCATAAATGGAATAGTTAAATATTATGTTAAACAAATTAGCTCCTGACGCAATTTGTGATTCTTGCGCTTGCCCATAAATGGATTCTTCCTTGCGACATTGATGGGTATCTTTGGGTGCGTTTAGTTCCCTATTTGTATTTGTATTTGGAATTGGATTTAGGGAAAAAGCGTTTGTTTTGGTACTCACAGAATCAAATTCTAAAAATTTGATTCCTGACGCACAAAATGACCATTTAGACAAATTTCTTCTTCTTCCTTCACCACGCTAACACATTTTAAGGCATTCAGAAACCCACCCTTAACTTGAAACCACCACTGGCTTCAGGAGATTCAGATCGTCATCCCCAACAGTCACCATCTTTCATGTTACAACCAAAGCTAGAACATCTTCCACCTGCATTCAAACTCAACACCCAAAGAACCTGAAACTCCTCCTACAACGATATTTAGCAAAAAAAACAACCACCAGCGGAAGAGGACAACAGTAAAACACCCCATTGCCAATCTCGACAGATTGAAAAATTGAAGCCAAAATCCACATACCCAGCCTACCAACAACAAACACCAGCCCATATCCAAAGCACCCCTCGACTGGACATAAACACATTCACGATCTACTAAGGAAAAAGAAACAATTACAGATAACATTTCCACACCATAGTCACAGACTAAGAACCCAAAGCAAATCATTTCACCATCATCATCCACCATCTTTGACCGCCACCACCTTCGAGCACCACCTCTAGCGTTGACAAGACTCCAGATCCAGCAGCAAAAAAGGTTTTCTTCTCCAACCCGAGCCCACCACCTTCGACAGCCACCACCTTCGAGTGCCACCACCGACGCACACGAGCCCAGATCCAGCACCATCGTCGGTGAAACCTCCCCCAACCCGAAGCCAGCAGCTTCTTTAACAAGCACTAGTTCCACCACCATCGTCGACGAAAGCTCATCTAACCTAAGGCCACCACATTCTTTAAGCACCAGCAGCGTTGTCTAACTACTTCATTAACCCATCGTCGACCACCCTCCTCCAACCCCATGCCGCCGGATCCAAATGATTTGTTAAAAGGTAACCCAAACAATGCAGCACACTGATTTGGATTATGTTTTAGGATGCATTTGTTATATATTAGTTTAATATTTGTTTTATTATGCATTTGTTTACGGTTTAGTTTATATTTGTTTTATTTTGCATTTGTATTATATTTGTTTATGTTCTACTTATACGCAATGCAGTGTATGAATTTCATTAGTCGTTTGTGTTTTATTCGTAGTTGGTTAGGTTGTAGTTAATATGGCTGTATATGATTAGGAGTAATTAGTTTAGTTAGTTGAATTGGTTACTATAGTTACTATCAACTACAGTTAATTAACCATGGTTACTAGAAATTTTGGGCAGATTCGGCATCGTTATTTGATCGTAAGAACAAATTACGATCATATGAACAAAAGTCAGTATAATTTGATCCGTCATTGCAGGATCGATTATTATACCCTGTTGGTCAACATTGCCTATAGCTTCCTCTGCATTGACGGCTTCAAGTAGTGTTGGATCGAACGAGGTAACAATTTATATGTGTTTAGTTTATGAGGTTTAAATGTGCATATGTGTGTTGGTAATGTGTTTGCTGATTATTATGGTGTCCCAATCTTGGTTGTCGTTCTCACCGTACTATTATTAGATGAGTGATAATGTCAACTAGTCTGCTGAGATGAGCCACAAATTTCTGGCTCTGTTATTTGAGCATGCGAAAACTTCCCACGATACTTCAATAAAAATAGCAGATTACCAGGATATGTTAGATGACTTATCATCATTGGCTGGAAGGAGACTCAACGTGACACAACTAGCCTCTAAGTACTTTTGCTTGAGAAAAATATATCAAGCCTAGCGGACATTGCTACAACACATGAGCTTTGGTGTGGATCATGAGTCGCAAACTCCAACGTGTCCTTTACAGGTTTGACAAGAATATATCAAGGTAAATTTCAAATTTTTAAATTCATATTAATATACGACACCGTACTTTTACGAATTTTTTTTGGGACTAACAGATATTAATATATGTTTATTTTTCATTACTAGCAAAACCAGGCGCAACAATTCTTCCACAACGGATTTTTTCACAAGGAGCTTTATGAAGTCATATTTGAGAAGCAAATTGCCATAGGAAGATATGCGTACACATCTACGTCTCAATCTATGGAGAACTTCACTTCTTCTTATCAGGGACCGATTGACATTGATGATAGTGGCTTCGAACCTGATCCAGATCAGACGACGGAGAAAAACTGTCAAACACATCTGGTCATGCAAGACCGACAAATAGGAGGAAGAGAAGCGGCCTAGGATAGGCATTTGTGGATGTCATTGGCAGATTGATAGACGTGCTTGTGTAGAGGAGTATGAGATCAAGAGCTAGCAATCGTAGTGGAGATGAGAGGGACGAAGGGAACATCAGTGCTCCATCTGATCCGTTTTCCATGAGTCATTGTATTGACATCTTGATGGTCATGCAAGTACCCACCGAGTTTTACATGTCGGTTGTCAAGTACTTATATCAAAATCTAGGGTGGCGGGGGGTATTCGTCAAACTGCCGCCTGAGGAAAATGCCATTTGGATTTATAACGACTTTCGCAATTTATAGATGACCCTATATGTCTTAAGTGTTTGCCCATGGTTTTGTATGCGCCAATGGGCACTTATTCCTTTTACGGCTAACTCAAACTTTTTTTCAGTACTTTGATTTGAAAAATGTACCCAAATGTCTGCTATTGTATGAACTTATTCATTGTGCTATTGTTTTATGTGAGATAACATGTTTCATATGAGTTTGAGATTGTAATTAGAATTAAAAATTGAATGTTATATTTTGCTAAGTACTATAACAACTATTAAATGATGATCAATGTTTTACAAATGTATAGGTTTAAATGACATCGTCTAGGCGTACAAGAAGAAGACGAAGTACTACAATGACGAAGAAGAAATACTGATAGATATAACAGTTGCACTGTACGCTGTTGCCGCATTGGAAACAGATGGGCGTCACTTACGATATACATCTATATTAACTAGTCATGATTACATGTTGGAAGTACTAAATGATCATGATGACATAATCTTTGACAAGTGCCTTATGGACAAAAACTATATTACAAAGTTATGTTACATTTTGGCACAACAAGGGAAATTGAGAGCAACCAGGAGGATGAGTATTGAAGAACAAGTCATGATATTTTTTACAATCGTAGGTAAAAACGAGATAATCAGAACGATGATAAAGGATTTCCAACATTTGGGTGAGACAGTCTCTAGATATGCTGGCAAAGTTTGCAAGGCGATATGTGAGTTGAAGACAGAGTTTATCAGGCCACTTGACTTCAGTGATGTTCCACTGGAAATATCGACCAACGGAAAATATTACCCTTTTTTTAAGGTACTTCTTCATTATGTTTTATATTAGTGGGTAGTTAAGTTCATTGTGTTATTAATGTTGATAGTTGGTTAATATAGCTAAAATTCAATTTTGATGATAAGACTATATTGGAGTCATTGATGACACACATGTTTATGCTTCAGTTCCACAGGAGTTTGGCGATAGGTACCAGAATCGCAAAGGAACGTTGTCATAGAATGTAATGGTTGTATGTAACTTTAAGATGATGTTTACTTATGTTGTCACTAGGTGGGAAGGATCTGCGCATGATTCAAGAGTTTTAAATTCAGTTCTTGATGATCATAATTCTAGATTCACACATCCTTCACCAGATATAAGTATCTTCTTTACATATTATAGCGTATTGGCTCCATTTTTGAGGCACTGGAATTCAAATAACATGTGTGATTTTATTACAAGAAAATACTATTTGGTTGATGCAGACTATCCAAATAGAGAGGGGTTCCTTGCCCATCATAGGCGAATGGCTTACCATATTTATGATCACCGTTGTAACCGGAAGGGGCCACAAGAGTTGTTTAACTATAAACATGCATCACTCCGCATTGTTGTCGAGAGAACCTTTGGTGTTTTAAAAAAAAAAGGTTCCGTATTCTCAATGGAATGAACAATTACCCGTTGGACAAACAAGAGAAGATTGTTGTGGCAAGGACCCTATCTTCCAACGGTATACTGAAAATACGGGTAATGAGCAAGTGTATTTTGATGGCTAAAACGGGGTAGAAGATGGCAGAAATGGAGAGGGACCGAGTCAACCACAACAAGGTATTATAGACGACATGGCGACTCTACGGGATAACATAACGATTGAAATGTGGGCAACACATATGACCATGTCGTACTTGTTAATGGAGTATAGGTGTACAAACGATTTTAAGGGTTGATAATTAGTAACTTTGTCATATATGTATTAATGTAATTTTTTTAAACAGTTGGATTAGTACTTGAAATTAATAAGGGATTTTTTTTTTTTAATTTAGTGGTTACGAAATTACCAATCAAATGTTTAATATTATTAAAATGTAAATTGATAAGTTTTTAGGTTATAATAATAAATTATTTTAACAAAATACACCAAAATATTGTATTAATAAATCATTTATAAAAAATATACCAAACAAATATTTAACAATTTATTCAACTTAAATAACAATGTTAAAATACTCTACCAACACATTTTATTCAAATCTTATTCTTGTAATAATAACCCAACTCAACTTGACAATACTATTTCAAAAATCTACCAAAAATAACAAAACAAACACACCAAAGTTTTTTGTATTATTGCCTTGGCCCTAGCAAGTTTGGAAGGTTGCAACCACTAAAACATTTTAGGCTGCATTTATTTCACAATTTTCCCCCTATTCTATCTAAAATACACATTTATTTCCTTATTCTGAAAATATTATTCAATCATTTTTAAACCCCCTAGGTTTGTTAATTTAACTAAATACTTTCAAATTTTTTTTTTTTTTAAGAAATTGACAAAAACATCCCAACAACTCACATTTGCCAGATTCCGGCCACCACCAACAAAAGGTGGCCAGAATCTGGTATAATGGCGCACTACCAATGGATTTGACAGGAAAATGTCAGATCTATGGCCAAAGATCTGGCCGTCATAGCCAATCGTCAACGACGACCATATCTTTGGTCGTCGTTGACGACCAAACGCGGCCATATTTGACCGTCAATGGCCACATCTAGCCATAAATCTAGCTTTTTCTAAGCCATATCGACGCACGACTAGCTAGATCCAACCGATCATGTGTCGATACGACGACTTTGACCATCCTCCTATAATGGTAACCGATTACCGGTATTTAATGGGTAAGTGAATGTTTTTTTGTTAATTTTCAATGTTTTATTATAGGGATATTTAGTAAATTAACAAACCTAGAGAGCATTTTCGTTAATTTTCAAATCATATCTCGTAATAACCATTGAATTTTATATTTTTTAAAATATTATTCTAAAAAATATCAAAATAATGAACCAAACACACAATCACTTCCAAAATTCGAATTATAGATCTTTTGTTGATTTATCTAGCGACAAAGAAGCCATCTTAAGTGAACGTACATGTCCAAATTGGACCTTGAAAGTTGACTTACAGATAAGCAAGTATCACACCTAACAGGCAAAAAAATAAAAAATAAAAATGGAATTTTTTTACTTCACCGAATGAAAGGGTCTAAATCTACAAACATACATAAGCGCCTTGTGTCTTTGAAGAATGTAAGAACAGCCTAAAGCACAGCATGAGAGCTTCCACACTTTAATGAAGAATCAAGCACGTGATCAGTTTGTGAGGAGAAAATACGTGCAGATACATCAAACGAACCTTTGAGTCAATTGAACAAATATTAATTGGAACGATTGGACACTTTACATTTGATACACAATGAATATCTTGCTGGGAAAAAAGTTTCCTCCTATATCACGATGTAGATTCAGTTGCGGTGGGACTTCTGATGGACTTTGCTCCTGTTGTGGATGGGGTATCCCCCTCGTTATTCTCAGTATCTGAACTACTTGAAGGTTTAGCGCCAGTAGTGATGAGATTTTTAAACCAAGTTGCTTGAACTCTAGGTGTCCCTCTGATTAAATTGCTTGGGGAATCAGGAACAGGCCCATTGCTGTTGCCATTACCATTGTTAGCAACACCCAGAAGGAAACGATAAGCCACTTTGCTAGCCGAGACAATCTCTGTCCTGGCTTGTCTCAACTGCAATAGCACAAACAAGAAGGTAAAGGCAATGTTATTCACAAAGCAAAACTCTCAAACCTATTAATAAGGGTTTACATTTGAACTGTTATCATTAAATATCCAAACAAAAAAATGCTTGAGAGACACAAGAACTTAAAACAATTCCAATCTGATTACTCATCCACATTTCATGTCTGATGGCAATGGTACATGACAGCTACAAGCTTAATTCAAGCCACCAGATTTTAACACCGCTAAACAGTAAATGAAAGCAGATGTGAATGGCAACTCCCAAGTCCAAATTCTATAGTTTAGCGTAAGATCATGTGTTGAATAATCAGGAATAGAGAGTTACTTCTAAACCTTCACAAATATTCAACATCAAATATTCTCCACTACAGGTAAAAACATCAACATTTTCCAAGCATTTCCCGTAACAATTGGAATCAAGCAACATTGCAGAGCAAATGCATAAAATAACCACAAAAATTAACATTTATTCACAAATTGTACATGTGTGANCATATCGACGCACGACTAGCTAGATCCAACCGATCATGTGTCGATACGACGACTTTGACCATCCTCCTATAATGGTAACCGATTACCGGTATTTAATGGGTAAGTGAATGTTTTTTTGTTAATTTTCAATGTTTTATTATAGGGATATTTAGTAAATTAACAAACCTAGAGAGCATTTTCGTTAATTTTCAAATCATATCTCGTAATAACCATTGAATTTTATATTTTTTAAAATATTATTCTAAAAAATATCAAAATAATGAACCAAACACACAATCACTTCCAAAATTCGAATTATAGATCTTTTGTTGATTTATCTAGCGACAAAGAAGCCATCTTAAGTGAACGTACATGTCCAAATTGGACCTTGAAAGTTGACTTACAGATAAGCAAGTATCACACCTAACAGGCAAAAAAATAAAAAATAAAAATGGAATTTTTTTACTTCACCGAATGAAAGGGTCTAAATCTACAAACATACATAAGCGCCTTGTGTCTTTGAAGAATGTAAGAACAGCCTAAAGCACAGCATGAGAACTTCCACACTTTAATGAAGAATCAAGCACGTGATCAGTTTGTGAGGAGAAAATACGTACAGATACATCAAACGAACCTTTGAGTCAATTGAACAAATATTAATTGGAACGATTGGACACTTTACATTTGATACACAATGAATATCTTGCTGGGAAAAAAGTTTCCTCCTATATCACGATGTAGATTCAGTTGCGGTGGGACTTCTGATGGACTTTGCTCCTGTTGTGGATGGGGTATCCCCCTCGTTATTCTCAGTATCTGAACTACTTGAAGGTTTAGCGCCAGTAGTGATGAGATTTTTAAACCAAGTTGCTTGAACTCTAGGTGTCCCTCTGATTAAATTGCTTGGGGAATCAGGAACAGGCCCATTGCTGTTGCCATTACCATTGTTAGCAACACCCAGAAGGAAACGATAAGCCACTTTGCTAGCCGAGACAATCTCTGTCCTGGCTTGTCTCAACTGCAATAGCACAAACAAGAAGGTAAAGGCAATGTTATTCACAAAGCAAAACTCTCAAACCTATTAATAAGGGTTTACATTTGAACTGTTATCATTAAATATCCAAACAAAAAAATGCTTGAGAGACACAAGAACTTAAAACAATTCCAATCTGATTACTCATCCACATTTCATGTCTGATGGCAATGGTACATGACAGCTACAAGCTTAATTCAAGCCACCAGATTTTAACACCGCTAAACAGTAAATGAAAGCAGATGTGAATGGCAACTCCTAAGTCCAAATTCTATAGTTTAGTGTAAGATTATGTGTTGAATAATCAGGAATAGGGAGTTACTTCTAAACCTTCACAAATATTCAACATCAAATATTCTCCACTACAGGTAAAAACATCAACATTTTCCAAGCATTTCCCGTAACAATTGGAATCAAGCAACATTGCAGAGCAAATGCATAAAATAACCACAAAAATTAACATTTATTCACAAATTGTACATGTGTGAGTGTAAAACAGTTATCTGTTATTCAATAGATCCAGCTATAGACATTCACATAAAAAAGGGGTAATATTCTGATATCCTGCAGGTTATAAGCAAACAAAATGCAGAATGGCATCTCACCCGTAATGCAGTGGTTCCCGCTACTTCCATGGCAGCATCACCAGCGTTGGCAAAACGATTAACCCAGCCTGTTACAGAAATTATAACAAGATTCATATTATCATTTATTACCATAATTCTACAAAGGAAGAAATAACCTATCAACACTGAAGACAATATTTTTAAATAGAAAAAACCTCTGGACAGGGCATAATCTCAGAAAAAAAAAACCTCTTTGAATAAAGTAGTCAACAGCACGGAGCACAAAAGCAATAAAAAACATGGTCCTCCCTCCCCTAATCTTCCTACTGATCCCCATTAAAAAAAAATTAAAAAAAAAAAAGGGAAGAAGAAGAAGAAGAAAGATAAAAGGACAACAAACTGAAGCTCAGTTGTTCTATCTTACATGTACAAACTCATAGTTAGAACAGACCATGGATTCAGCTAGAAGCCTAGTATAAAACAGCACCCATTTAACCCATTCCCCACCCCTACTCATGGTAGAGCTTGCAAGGGCAAGACAACCATGAACAAATTAAATTGCAAAATATACAATCAAATTTTTTATAGATCGCTTATCCATATCTGAGTTGATAACTCTCTTAGGAATTAAAACTAAATAATAAAAGGAAAATAACTTGCATATCAATACATCACTAGCTGCTTTTATCATTGTTTTTATATTGCCTTTACAGTGTATATCTCAAAGTCTTGCTTAGTCAATTGAGCATCTGTACGCCAGTGCTCCTCATATATCAAACAGTTCACATGAAAAACGCATAGGAATCAATCCATCCCTATGTATCACAAACCAGAATTTAAGAATTCAAGTGGACGGATAGCAGACTACATAATCTGAAAAAGTTTACCTGGAAGCTTTGGCACACCAAGTCTTTCGCACAACTCATCACAAAAGTGGTTGCAGTTTCTGGATAACAAGTCATATGAACTTCCAGGCCACTCTCGACTAAGTTCCCGCAATATCTGATTCACCTTGAAGATTGAAAAGTTTGTTTTTCCAAGGACAATACATTCGCGATATGTATACATTGGATTCTTTCCAGATGGGCAGCTAAAAACTCCTGATCCATGTTCGCAGAACCCAAAAGACCATTCTTCATCGCCATATAACTGTCAAGTTAGGACAAAATTATCACTCAATAAAATTAATGAAATAAGATATTAGCAATCAAAAGTTATATATCAAATAAATGTCAACGACAAAGAACATAAATTGCAAAGCTATAAGAATCTGAAATATATATGGAATAAACTGCAATTTGAAGGCACTGCATAAAATAATATGGCTAACATGTGGCAAAGAGTATCCAACAAAACTAATAAGTGGCACAAATTTTCTTTTCTTCACAGAAAAATAAGAAATCATAGGTTTTCAAAGTTTGAGCATAACCCTTTCCCATAAAGTATTTCAAGAAGAGATGGTAGAGCAATCTCAGACTGGATGTGAGAAAGTTAAAGAAAATAAAATTGATTTAAATAGGCAACATAGCAGATGACATTGCTTTATATGACATATGGAGACCTTAGTTCTGTTTACAAGTTTAGATTCCCAAACAAGAGATACAACTATGTACAACTCAACTAATCCTAGATCTCAAACATACGAGGTTGCCTCCTTGCATCTTACAGCTCTGAACATAATGCGCACATAATGAAAAGAAACTAAGAAGCATAGCACTGCAGAGTAATATATCTTGACATAAACAGCCACAATCCTATGAATTGACAAGCAGGCCTCAAGGAGAAAGAGCTCCTACTATCCTTTCTAATGGACTCAAGTATATATTATTTTAACAAAGAAAACTTAGAGCAAGAATCCAAAACTAATTCTTCAAATTGAGTTGCACATTCCTTACAGTAACAATATTAGGAAAAAATAACCTCTAAGCTAGCCTGCAACTATTTCTCTGAAGGGCAATAAAGATCAGAAATCCATTCCTCATAAGTACACATCTGATTTGCTAGCGATGACCAGTAACTAGTCCAAGAGGAAGATCAGCCACAGCCAGGGCAGAGTTCATTTTATAAATCCACAATTCATAAGACACGCCCAATTAATTGACCAATAAATAGAGGCCCTGTAAGTGTAAGAGTGAACTCGAAGAATACAAACTTGACCTAATTTTAGGTGAGGCAGATTTGTCGGCAATTCTACTGTAAAGCATTAACACAATTAAACACACCAAACAAACACACGAAAATTGCAGATCTCACTACATTACACAACTAACACAATCAATTATTACCGTCATTCACATATCTAAAGACTGATATTACTTAAAAAACCTTGATCTCATTCACACTCACTCGGCAATGCACAAACACATTTAAACATAAAGATAGAGATAGAAAGGGACCTGAACAGCGCTGTGGAAGATACCGCCGACGCCAATACCGTCTTTGAAGATCTTATTGATTTGCATTATAGTGTTGTTGGTCTTGTCCGATCCACTATTCGTCACGTCGTATATGTGAAGTATCACATCCGTCATCTTCGCCTAAACCCTAGATTTTACCCTAATTGTGTCTGTTTTCACTTCCTACTTTCTTCACAAAGAAAACCAACTCTCGCTACTCTCTCTGTGTCCCTCTCTTCCTCTATCAGTCTGTAAAGCGAAGCAATCGAATTACTCGATTCAACGCTCTTTCCACTTTCACTTTTTTGCTCTGTAACTAATTTGAATATCTCCACCTCGAATCGCTCAATTTCTCTTTCCTTTTTTGTTTTTAAATTATTCTACCCTTTTTGGATATTTTATTTCTATTTTTATTATTATTATTATTATTTGTATTAAAGCGATAAAGAAAAGGTGAATAAGATAGATGGAGTTTCAAATTCTGAACCAAAATACATTTTCAAATTTATATATAAGATAAAAGATAAAATATTAGTTACAAAAATACCCCTGGGTTTAGAGGAAACTACGAAACTGTTAGGTAGTTATCTTACAACTGTCAGTGAGTGATGGATATGATTAGCCCAATGTGGAGGATGCGGCCCCCACGTTGTCACGCATGAAATTATTTAAACTTTGAGACACCGACACCTTAAAATACGATAATACCCTTGTTTTGGTTTATTACAAGCATTGAGCATATGAAATTGGTGACGAATTCTAGGATCTTGAGGCTAAAGATGGTGTATGCTGTATGGTCAGTTTAAGATATTTAGGATTAGAAGCTTTTTTTATAACAAAAAATATCCTTAATTTTGTCCGACTGCGGCAACCAATAGTAATACACAAAAGAATAACGCATGGGATTTTGTTAAGCCACCGACCGCTTTCAGAGAAGTCGATTTCCTTTTTTGTTTTTTAGTTTTAGAGATAATGCAGCACCACTGAAACTAACCAAACAAGCTATGCTTAAACAAATTAATGGCTACTGTATTCTTTGGTTCTTTGCTGTTACTGCACTTAAGTTAATAACAACATAACAGAAAGGTTTTTTTTTTTTTTAAAAAAAATTACGTGTGTAAACTGGTATGAACATCTCAAATTAAAAAAAAAAAAGTTTTAATTTTAAGGAGAAACTCAAACAGAATTAATTCTTTGGTTTTCTTCACTATAGTTCCTGGGGAGATAAGATTTGCAGAGATAATACGAAAGGTGCATGAACAGAAGGCATCTTTATTCTAAATTTGGTGGTGGGTCAGACACTCAGAGTCACAGCCAATGGAATTTATTAAGAAATCGAAACTCTGTATCATCCATACGAATTTTATTAGCTGACCAAAAACACTGCCCTGTTCATCCCCACTTATGCAATCAATAATATTAAAGTCTCAAGTGCTCAACTCTCTTGGTTGATTGCAGTCTCCATTCAATTCAAGCAACCCTTTTCAGAGACAGCAGTATTCCTATATATTCTAGTGGAATTGCTTCATCTTTAGGATTATTTTTCTTTTCCTGTGTCATGCATCATGTGAAAGTCACACTGATGTAAGCATAGGAAGACATTTTTAGCTTCATATTCTTGACCGATCTACTTGACCTAAACCAGAAGAAGATATGACCGTCTACCGTGAAGAAGTCTCCAGATTGTAGATACGTGTCGTGACAAGTTTGTATGAATAATTGAATATAACAAGATAAATGGTCGGCCTCAAGATAAAAAAAAAAGAAAAAAGATAACAAACTTTCTATAGTTGACATTTTGGCTTCATCATAACCATTTCAGCCATTGGTGTCACCCATGTGGCTGATAAAGTAAACAGTGAGCAAAATAAAAAGAAAGAAAATATCTCATTCAAGCATTTTGCTTCTCTAAGATCAACCGGGTGCATGTGAAAGATTGAAAGTTGCACATGCAGAAAACTTTCCGCTGCGTCTTAAATATGAAAGTTATAAATGAATTTACCTTTAGCATATAATGAGTCATCATGGGAAGCTTTAAGTTTTTCAAACTTGCCATAATTAGTTTCTTTTACAATGGATCTTTTTCTTTGGGCTCTCTCTCATATTTGTCAAGTTAATTTTCCTTTTCAATGAAGCTAGCTTTGTATGCTACCAGAAAAAGATGTTACATTCATAAATATCCCTCAAGCTCTTAATCAACAAACCAAGCAGTTTAGAAAGAGGAGAGGAAAAGAAAGTTTAGGCCTCATTCAGATAGACAAGTTGTGGCAACAGCAATATGTGTGCTTAATTCTAAACAATTACAGGTTTATTATCATTAACGCAGTATCTTCTTAGCTACATAGAAGAAAAAAAAATCTTGAAAGATAACACAGCATCTTTTTAACTCATCTAATAGCCTAAACATTTTTAAGAAACCTACGTGAAAGTCAAGATACAACTGTGCTTGATTAAAAATTTAAAGAGAAGACCGAACTTCAAATTAGTACCTCGATCCAAGATAATTTGAGTAAGTCCTTGAAAGTGTCACTACAGAGGGAACCTCGTATGCATGTATTAATTATCTGCCTTCATTGGTCATCAACTGGGAAAAGACTTGGCTTGTTCTCAAGTCTGAGCTGCCATCATCTCGCTCCACTCGTACGCTTGTAGATGGAACTTGGGGATCAATTTCAGGTGTTGGTAGCTCTGGTGCATTTGTATTGCTGTCTTCATGCGGTTCTCTTGATGGTCCAGCAGAATCTTGAAGCTGAAGCGTATACTCCAAATTCCACAAGACATCACCCATAGTTGGCCTATCGACACCATATTCAGCTAAACATTTCTCTGCCGTTTCTCCTAATTTTTTTAAAGAGGCAGGACTGATCTTTCCAATAATTTGAGGATCAACAATTTGCTCGAGCATTCCCTTCGTCTGCCATTGCATTGCCCACTCTGCTAAATTCACTTGTTCCCTAGAAAGCGATGGATCAACAGCAGGTCTAGCACAAAGAACTTCGAAAAGCAAAACACCAAATGAATAAACATCTGATTTGTCTGTAAGCTGCTGCCTTCGGAAATACTCTGGATCGAGATATCCAAAACTACCTTTCACTCCGGTACTGACATGTGTTTCATCGAGACATGGGCCAGATCTTGAAAGACCAAAATCAGCAACCTTGGCTACATTATTTTCATCAAGCAAGATATTGGTAGATTTAATGTCACGATGGATGATTCCTTGTGCTGAACCTGTATGAAGGTAATGAATGCCTCTAGCCGCACCAATGCATATTTCAAGCCTCTGTTTCCAAGATAAAGGTGTACATATTCCCGAACCATATAAATGTTTCTTCAGTGGCCCCTTTTCCATGTATTCATATACCAGTATCATTTCTGACTGTTCTTCACAATAACCAACAAGAGAAACAAGATGGCGTTGACGAATCTTGGACAAGACAGTTATTTCAGTCTGGAATTCTGGTAGTCCCTGCCTAGATCCTGGCACACCTCTTTTAACAGCAACTTTTGTATTGTCTCTAAGAACCCCCTTGTAAACCATACCAAATCCACCAGAACCAATAATTAGACTCTTTTCAAAATTGTTCGTCGCCTGTTGTATATCAGCAAAAGGGATTCTTAAGCCGTGATATCCATTTGTCCCTGGAGATGCATTGACAGTCCCTTCAGACATTCTACTGTGTGAGCTGCCTCCATAAACACGTAAAGGGGTCCAGCCTACACTTTCTGCAGGTCTTGGTTTTGGTTTCTTCTTCTTGCATTTACATGAGAGCAGAACTACAACTGCAACTAAACACAATATGATGAAGCCTCCAACAACTGAACCCACCACAATCCAAGTTTTTTTGGTTCCAGTTTCTGAACCAGCCGTACCAACAACATTTACCATCCTCATGATCTCTACTCCATTCAAAATAGCATTAATATTTGAAGAAGTACTCAAAATTGAAGGCCCAACACTTACACGTATAACCCCAGAATCATCCGACTTCGCAACAAAGTCTATGTAAAGTGGAGATGAAAGCTCATGGAATGTCATTACCGACAAATCAACAGGGTCATAGGCAGAGTATTCATTAATGAACACATTAAAGTAGAGTTGATTAAGAGAAGAACTAACAAAATCACAAAAATGCAGTCGAATTAAGTGTCGAACACTACTCAAGCCCACAGGAAAATCCCATGAGATGTTAAATCTTGCACCAATAGTTTGATAATCCCTATTCATCTCTTGTGCAGTCATGTAAACATTATCGGGCGCAATCTCTCGAGTTGAGCCACCCTTTTGGTAGTTCGGTGTGTGAGTGGTGACTACACGCTTTGCAGCAGATTTCAAAACAAGGAATTCATCATCAGGGATCCAAGTCCTCCACAAAGTATCATTAAAAGGGGTTAGTTCCGAACCTCCAACATTAATCCTATGAATAGTCTCTAAAACCTGTGAAGAAAGATTCCTGTACTCTTGAATAGCCCCACTATCACTAATCAGCTTAGCTCCAACATCTAAAATAAAGTCATTAGGAGCTGAAAAAACTTCAATTGCATTAACAAACCCAAAACTCGAACCACTAACAGGCCTAAACATAATCTCAAGCACATCACCTTCTACTTTCACAATAAACTCTCTAAGCACCACAACTTGAGTATTAAAAACTTTAAGCGTAGACAACCCATTAACAAAAACACTAAACTTTGCAGTTGGGGAAGTTAAATCAAAATCTCGAGAAGCAAATGGCGAGAAATGGAAACGTACCAAATGAGTCCCGTTATTCTTGATGTTAAACTTGTAGCTAAAGTCAGAGGTGAAAACTCTAGCCGTATGGTATATAAAAGGAGAATTTGGAGATGGGTTGTGGTTTGTGAGTGAAACGGAGTTGTCTTTTGAGAGAGAAACAGATTTAGAAGAAGCATCAGGAGTGAAGAGACGGTTGTAAAGAGAAGTATTTGAGGTTGATCCACAGTTGATGAGGTAGTTGTCAGGAGGAATGAAAGACGATGCTGAGAAATGGAGGAGAGAACAAAAGAGAGTTAAAGATAAAGAGAAAATGAAGTCCATTGAAGGAGGTGAATGTTTCTGGGTTGGCTTCAGACAAAACATAAGAGCGTTATAAGATAAAGGGAAGTGAGTAACTGTATGAAACGGGAGTGTTAATTGCTGAAGAATGAAGAGAGATTTGTGTGTGGTGGAGCCGTGGAGGAAAACTTCACTCGTTTTATTTGTTTATTAAATTAATTTAATTCACGGCTAAGATTAATTATTTGATATAATTATTAGCATTTTTACCGTGTCCATTTAATCATATATTTTTGTGTAAAATAAGGTCAAAATGTCAAATCTTGCCTAGTTTTAATTTAACATGAGTTCAGAGGTAATCACGTTGTTGGACCCAATTAGAAGTTTTTTTTTTTTTTTTAAATAAACGAGTTGTTTGGACCAATTTACGTGCACCTTAACTAATTATTTGAGATCCAAAAACTATCAATCAGATAGTTGGATAAGAGTTTCAATGACTACTTTATTAATAATTGAGTATGGATTCAAACTTAGGACCTCTTGAATAATATACTAAAAAATCTCTATTAAACTATTCGACCACCTAAGGGTTGGTTATTAGAAGATTTTTATGAGGTGGAAGTTTTAAGGTAAATATCCTATTTAATTAATTATTTTTAGCTAAAAATGTCAAAACTTGCTTGTCTTAATTTATCATAAGTTTTCACATGCTTAGACTTAAAGGGTGTTTAATTTTCTTGGTATAAATCTAACCAATCTCTTACCTCCAAAACGTGTTGTGTTTGCATATGTTTTGGCAAGTGGATATGAATGACGGGGTTAGGTCGCTTTCCAATATACTACTACTGAGTGCGAAACATGAACAAAATCAAAATTGAAATCCTACCATAACAAGATTGTTACATACTAATTAATGTTAATTGATCTATGATTACTACATAATTTGATTGCATAAACTTTTGACACTTTGTTATGCAATTACAAAAGCTTTTAATTGAATTTCTCAAATTTTTTTTTTTTTTTTTTTAATGATTGGGGGTGTTCGGGTCAGTATACCACGTACTTCAACTAATCATTCGAAATCCTAGAATTATTGGCCGAGTAAGAGTTCTAATAGCATTGATCACCCCTATTAACAATCGAGGAGGAATTTGAACTAAATACCTCTTGAATAATACACTTAAGAGTTCATGTCAAATCACTCGATTATCCAAGAGTTGGTTTGAATTTATGAATTCATATCATATATGGGAATTTTCACAGAAACTGCGACCTAGGCTATAGTTGGCATCTCCTTTTTTTGGGTACTTGTATAATGGGTTACAACTAGCACCATTCATTTCAGTATCCATTCTAAATCAATCAACAATTCGGCTGTGTTTGAAACGTTTTTATTTTCAAATTGGTGATTTGAAATTGGCAAATTGCCATTGTCTTGATGGGTTTTAGAAAATGGAGAACAACAAGACCCTTGTTGGGAAGCAACAATTGGATTATATTCTTATGCTCTGTCTAACACTTTGTTGTCTCAATTAGACTTTTTTATGCAGGGGTCCAATGGACATTAGTTTATGCTTGTGGACCAAATTTGTTGAAATTTTATTCTCAGTCTGGTTGGTGAGTGTTGAGTGTTATTTTCTAACTGATGGATTGGATTTACATTTTTTTCATCATTAACTTGTAATACACATTTATTTACTAATAAACCTTAATCTTATTTAAATATCCCCATTTTTATTTAATTTTAATTTTAATGATAATTAAATTTAAAATGGGGATATTTAGAAAATTAGTGGAGGCCTTTTAGCAATCGTCTAATATAAATGGACCAGATACAGCATTTACTATTGTATGGGCCACAAGTCCTTAGAAACGCAAACCCAATTCAGTCCAAAATGATATCACTGTTAACACGATGTCGTTTATGCTTCACAGAAAATGTGAAAGCTCTACATTAACGTTTTGTCTCGGCTGGCTCGCTCTCGCAAGGTCTTTGACCCTCTGAATCTCGTTCTATTCAAGATCAAAGAGCCCCTCATCAACTTTCAAGCTCAGAGGATCTTAATTTGTAAGCTATTCCAGTAATTATTAAGTTAAATTCTGCAATAAATTTGCGTTTCATTATGTTAGTATTTTATTGATTGTATTAATCCCTTTAGGTTAAGGATAATTATAGACCGACCATTTTTGTTTTTACGAAGTTATCACGGATAGAAACAATAATTCATTGTGTACGGTTCTTTACAGTGGCAATAGCCGATATTCATATCTTATGTGAAGTGTTAAGTATTTCTTTGGATTTTTTAAAGAATTTTTTTAAGAGTTTCTACAATATCTATTTTACTTAGGTTCCAGATTAATTATGTTTGAGCATTTGATTCTGGCTCAAAGGGTCAATCGTAGAGGAAATGTAATGTGGACTAAGGAATTATTTGGTTGGTGTGGTTTTGCCTTTAGTAAAATGAAAATTTGTTTGATTGCAGGATTCTTCAGATTTTGATTCTCTGAAGTTTCTGGAGCTTTTTTGTGCTCGTGAGCTACCGACGATTATTCTTTGCATATCTGCTTGCAGTTTATGGTAAATTTTTTTATCTTGGAACCACCAATATTAACGGATTGTGCACATTCTTAATATTCCTTTTCTTCGACTTCTTTTTCGGTATTGATTATCATATTGACGCATTTCTTTGCTGTGTTTAAGTTGGATTTTTGTTTGGGTCTTTAACAATTAATTGTTGGTTCTGGTGTCTAATACTTTAACATATTTTGTGGCTATTTTACTTTATTCCTCTTGTTGTTTCATGCTCCCTGGTGTGAGTTTAATCATTTTGCTGATGTTATTAAACTTGAACTTTAATTTCTTGTTGGACCCCCAATAATTGTTCCTGTTGGGTGATTGTTTATGTCAAAATCATCATCTTCTGGTTTGATCTATGCTGTTAATGTAAAAAATTTGTCAAGTGACGCTCAAGCTCTTAGGTTGTTTAGGATTTTGACGAATAATTAATTTGTGGTAGTTTTTCTTGTACCTTTGTCATTTGAGCTGTACTTGTTTTTATAGTGGCTTTTTGCTAGAAGTTGATTCTAACTAAGAGTGTCACAAATACCAAGTGTATTGCTAGACTGCTTCAACCTCTTCCTTTGCACATTGCACTCCTAGTACCTATGTTTCTCACATTCTTTCTTCTGTCTTTTCTGTAGGTTTAAAAATTGTGTTTCTGAACAACAAATCTACACAATTATAAACTCAAATACACAGTTGCCCTTTTTTTTTGGTAAATCATATTTTCATTTGTGGAACCAACAAGTTAGATGAAGTTCAGGATGAAATGGTCTTTCCCATAAAATTCATCTCTCATGTAATTTAGAGAGGCTTCTTATATATGTCAAAGTAACAAATTACTGAATAGTATTGTGTGTTGACCAATTTAGGATCCTAATGCCCTTGTTGATGAGAAGAGTGAAAGCAGACTTTATATCGGAAACCTTGACCTGAAGATAACGGAGTAAGGATTACTAATTGAGTTCTTTGCTTCTAGCCAAAAGAGAGGAAAAAAAAATTGAAAAAAAGTACTGTAGATTTTTTTGGGAAAATTGAATTTTTTTTTTTTTTTAATCTGTTTGTTGTTATTTATATTCAGTGGTCATTATGCAGGGCTGCTCTGATTAAGATGTTTTCTCCCTATGGGAAGATTGTAGCTGAGGATTTTCTGTGGCATACTCGTGGGCCGAAACGTGGAGAACCACGAGGCTTTGCATTTATTCAGTTTAGCACCAAAGAGGTAAGTTGTCTGCTTTCTATCTCTTTGTTTGAAAGCAATTTCTGATTTCCATATTTAAAGTGAGCATGCAGGAAGCACGATTGGCTAAGGAGAAAATGCATGGGAGACTGGCTTGTGGGCGCCCTTTGGTTGTTCGTCTGGCAAGTGAGAAGTACTTGGAAGAAACAACACAAAATTCTTCCAAAGCAGTAGGTGATGCAAACAAAATAGGCGTTATTGGTAGTGGTGGAGGACAGATGAACCGGAGTGCTAAAATAGCCGCAATCAAGAACAAATTGAAGGCATTGGAGGAAGAGAGTTGCAGTGCAAAGAAACAGAAGCAAGCTGAAGGCACCTCCTGTAACAGTAGTCTTGACCATCCACCGAGCAAAAGATAATAAACGACGTTGCTGAAGAGAATATTGTGAGTGGGAGAAGATTTCAATCTCCCTTCAGATATAGTCATAACTACATGCAGAACTGATGTAGACAAATTTGTACAACCTTGATGTATTACAACATTTTGATAAGAAGTTCTGATGAGTTTGATTATTAACATTAGTGAATCGCAATGCACTCAAGTAGCTTGAAATTAGTGTGGCAGAAGCCATAAACCATTCTCACTTATTGTGAAGCGAGATAATCTTCTTACAGTCTCTAAACCTAAGAATAGTGTAGAAGACTAAAAGTTGAATTAGTGTGAATTACTATATGTATAATTTTTATGACCGAGGGTGTTCGGATTAATTTATGTGCACCTCAATTAATCTTTCAGAACCCTGAAATTATTGGTCGAGCAAGAGTTTCAGTGGTTACCCTTATTAGTAATCAAGAAGGGATCATGGTTTTAAAATCTGGACCGGCTCGACTAGTTTAACTGGTTGGATCGAGACCTAGGGCCTTCTTTGGGTCGGGTTACCCTTTCAACTGTTTCAAGTTTGAAATCTAGCAAACACACCCTTGACTAATACCATCAGTCCTTAAAGGTTTGAAATATAGCAAACACACCCTCTTGTCAAATGCAAATAGGTGATGACCTTCCTTTTTCTGGAGACCTTCCACTTTCCCTTGCTGTCAAAAACCACCTTCTGACTTTCTCTGGGGTAGTGACGCTCCATCTCCTGCTGTTGCGTGATGTTTCATTGTCTAGCAATTTTTCTTCCATTTCCAGCTTCGATCGGCCTTCTCCGACATCGATAAGCCTCCTCAGCCACCAATCTACCTTCTCCCAAGCTCCCTTCTCATCATTCACGAAGATCCATAGTCATCTCGCCAAAAAAAGCCACCGCGACCGTTTGACTTCCACCACCGATCTACCATTTTTTGGCGATGCCTCCACTTGCCAGCAGTTGCCGATTCGTCCTCCCCATCACCCAATCTACCCTCCTTGGTGTGTCGTCGCCGCTCTTCCAGTCGATCACCGATTTGCATTTGGCCAGGGGTTGTGTTTGCTAGATTTTAAAACTATAGAGTCTGATGTATTTATCAAGGGTGTGTTTGCTAAATTTTAAACCTGTCAAACCATTGGTTAAACCGGTTAACCCGTTACTCGGTCACTTGAATGGGTCACCCCTTGGGTTGAGTTTTAAAACCTTAGAAGAGATTTGAATTTAAAACATTTTGAGTAATACTATATATATTGTTTGGTGGCCACCTTTGTTTGAGTAATACTATATATATTGTTTGATAGCCACCACAAAAGGACGCATCAATTCAGGCCAAAAAGAAGCAGTAGCATTCTACTTTTTTTTCCCTGGGTAACTATTTTGACTCATCCTGTGATGTTTTTTTTTTTTTTTTTTTTTTAACCCCTTAGATAATATTAAAAAGAGATTTTCTTTATTTGTTTATCCAAAATTTAACTGATTAGGAGTGTTTTTTAAGTTTTTGAAACCATTAAGAGTTAACAACATTTTCCCGCCCAAAAAATAGTCCATTGACAAATTCATACCCACACACATTTTAAATACCATTTTAGTACCCAAAACATAAATTTATTAGTAATTTTTGTTGATAGGAAGGGCAAAATGGTCACCAAACAGTGGCTGCCGGAGAAGAAGAATGGCGCACGTTAGCAATGTCAGATCCGACAGGTTTTTGCCATTTTTCGATCGATCCCGGCATTCAAAATCACTTCCGACACCATTCAAAGAATCACCATCACCTCCTCTACAAAAGTCCAAACCTCCATTTGCGGTCATCACTCACCTTTTCCCACCACCACCTCCATTCGCACAGCTGACTCTTCAAATTTGATTTTCGGATTCTTAAATATGGGAAAGGTAGTGAATGGTCTGAGTGATAAGTCAGGTAATTTAAATGTTCAAAAATCATTGAAGAGGTTCGCTAGCAATGTTCAAAATCCTGATAAGAAATCCGACAGTTTGGATGTGGATATTAAAGCAAAGGAGTTGGTTGAATTTATTGTCAATCCTCATTCGCCTTTTCACATTTTTGTGGTTGAAGATTCTACTAAAAAATCTATGTTGTTCAAGATTTATAACACAGCGGATGTCCAGAAGCAATTTGCTTGTGGTGCTTATGTTCGTTTATGTTATGCCTAAAAAGTTACGCTTATGTCAGCCCAATAAATGTCTTTTTATACTAGTTGTCAAGCCCATATCTCCTCAAATATATTCTTACCAACCCTATCTCCTTTCAAGAAATGAATGGATGAGAGTCTTCCATGTGTCAAGGCAACTTGCAAAACACTCATTACATTGAGTGTTTAGGTGTATAAATTGACACTTCTCTTCCTGAAGAGGGAGGTTGGGCATATGAGAGCTAACCATAGATTTGAACTCAATTCTTTCTCTCTATAAACATTGTATTTCTTCATCTGTGTATGCCTTACGGGTAATATCATAGAAATAGTTAGAGATCAATAAAATAACAGTGGATGTAGGAGTCGCTTGTTTGAGCATCCGAACCACTATAAATCCCCCCCCCCCCCCCCCCCCCCCTCTTGTTAGCCTATTATTTATGTTTTCTGCAACATATATAATCTCAGCTCCATATTCAAATTTCATGGATCCATCACGTGTAATTTCTAAGGCCCTTTTAGCACTTTGCACGTACGAGTCGTTGGCTTCCAAAATCAAGCGTCAACAGTTTATCTGGTAATTTTGGAAAATAAAAAATTATCACTGATGTACTGAATTAGGTTACAGGGAAGAGAGGGGAGAAAAAATTCCCTCTTGAGTCGTCACTGAAACAGGAGCTGCGCGAGAAGAGGTATTTGGTAATGTTGCTTGATGTCCCAACTCCTGATATTTGGTAGATTATCAAGAATGGTTTTCCAAATTCATCGAATGGTAGCCGAATTATTTTCAGTTTTCAAGAAGCTGATCCAACGCGGTACCCAAAAATAAGATTCTTTGGAAGAGAACTTTTAAGGCTCAAATGGGAAGATACTGAAATTGCATCAACTCAAAGCAAGAAGGGTGGGGGCAATGATATTGTTAACAAGATAAATCCTGATTGGGAGCTCAACCCGCGCCTGGAGGGATGTAACGCCCTATTTGAGATACATAGCCATTGTTTATGTTATGGCCGCAAGGTTTACTGAATTGCCCTTAAATGAGGTTGTATCTTATTCATGTTGTTTGGTTGGCCCTTGGTTGAGTTATGTTTTGGGTTTGGTTGAGTGTTTACCCTGGAATTGATCAAGACTTAGCTGATTTTGGAGTTGCAATCTTCGCCGCGGCGACGTTGGCTTTGTGTATGGTGGTGTCGGTTCTGTAATTCTTCACCGGGGCGACAGAGAATTCTTCGCCGCGGCGAAGGGCCGGCTGAGTTTTTGTTTGAGTTTCTAGAGAATTCTTTTCTAAGGGAAAAATGACCATTCTACCCCTAATTAGCTGGAAAAGTTGGGAGTAAAATGCAAGAAAATTTCATGGAGAATAATGTAGAATGGGGGTGAGTTTGTAAAGAATTAAAGGATAAAGGTGGAATTTTTAAGAAAGAGTAAGGGCAAAATGGGAAAGAGTGTATATTATATGAGCTAACTAAACCCCTTCATTTCACCCATTTCCACCGCCTCTTCATCTCCCATTTTCTCTCAATTCCTCACTCAATTTTCCAAGGGATTTTTGAGAGTTTTGAGTTGGGATTTGACAAAGATTTGATCCTAAGCAAGAAGAGGTAAGAATCTCTACTCTAGATATGAGTTTTATTTATGTAAGGGTTAAGTTCTTACTAAGTTTATGCTTAGGAAATAAGGGAAAGCTAAGGTCCAACAAGAGTAGAGGTTTTTGGTGAAGACTACTCAAGTATGAGGTAAGTAAATCCAACTCAAGCTAAAGTTTAAGAAATCCTTGAGTAGAGATTTTCTTTATGCATGTATATATGATGCTTGTTGAGAAATTGAGTAGAGATGTATGTCTATTTGTTGAGAAATGGAGTTGAGATGAATATTCATGTTGTGTTTGTTGGATATTCTTCCTTTATGAGAAGTGTTGATGTGTGATGAATTTGAGATAAAGTTGGAGGAGATTGAGCAAATTTTTGAGGAGTGTTCGTCTATGATAGGAATTATGTCCATAGAAGGGAGTTTCTTCCTATTTTGGATGATTAAAAAGAGAAATAGAGTTGTAGTTATAGAGGAGTTTTTGTATGCACATGAGTTGTTTGATGAAATGTCTAAGTGAAAACATGTTACCAAACTGCCCTGTCACAGCCGTGACTTTCTAAGTGATTTTTGGGAATCTTACGGATTGAACTGGGTTTAGACCAAAACATAAAAGTTGTAGCCCTGTCTCTAAGCTTTAAAACGACACCAAAACCGTAGCAATCCGAGGTGTATAACTCAAGGTATGGCTTCTTGAGTGTGACCTGCGCAGAATGACTGTTTTGATGCAATATGGCATTTGGCATTTCATAAGTGTATTAATGAGCATGAACCATCCATATGCATTAATTGTGCATTTGAGAGGTAGCTTGAGAAAGAGTAGAGAATGTTGAGTATGAGCTACATTATGAATAATAGCTTGAGATATAGTGGAGAACTTTGTGAATAAAATACTCTAAGAGTATAGCTTAAGAAAGAGTAGAGAACTTTGTGAATAGACTACCCTAAGAGTTAAGCCATACTATGAGTACTAGCTTGAGGAAGAGATGAGTATTAGCTTGAGTAAGAGTAGAGAATTTTGAGTATAAGTTATACTATGAGTAATAGTTTGAGTGAGAAAGAGTAAAGAATGTTGAGAATAGCAACTCTGAGAGTAAAGAGAATGAGAACACTCTAATAGTAAAGAGAAAGAGAGATTAAGCACTAGCGAATAAAAGAGAGAAAAGTGCTACAGAAGAGAATAGAGTAGGTTGTGCGATGGGGAACCCGTGAGTGATGAGTAAAGTCACGAGAGTGGGTGCTTTGTGATCCCCAGCCGTGCCTCCGGTTAGATGGGGCCGTGACATTCAGAGAGAGAGAGAATACACTCACGTGGCCAAGGGTTCCGAATCCATGCATGACCGAGTCCGATCGGCAGAGAATGAGTAGAAGTCACGAATAGTGGGTTGGTGCTTTGTGATCTCCACCCAGCCGTGCCTCCGGTAAGATGAGGCCATGACATGCAAGTAAGAAAGAATGAGCAAACA